AAAATATGTTATAACAAATAAAAAAGTTATATTTAAGTTATCTCCCTTTAGCTAGCCTCCCGCTAAAACTACCGCGCATCTTCATAGATACGTTACTGGATTCTCTCGGAATTCGTCGCGCATGCGCGTACAGCCTCTCCAATATCGGAACACTGTATATACGCGTAAAAATGTGTAAAAATAGCTTCAGAACCACTTGATTCGTTGAGTTAACCGCGTGCTCAACTGAGGAAAATGCCAATAAAGAAATATCTGGATTATGTCGCACAATTAAATTGTTGCAATTTTCATATAAACAGGGTAAACTCGATTTATTACAGGAAATTTACGATTGACACAATTTATGTGGAACGCTTACAAGCAAGCGTCGCACAAATGTAATTCTGATTTCAAATAAACTTTTCTTTACACACAAGTGGAATAAATACACAAATTTAAGTTTTTTTGATTGATATTATGTAACAGTCATTAAGGTATGTGTATTGTTACGTACTTCAGAGAAATGTGTTTGGTATTTCCAATAAATGCAGACTCGTTTGATGTCACTTATGAGATTTGTGAGGCAATATTTTTCAATAAAATTTACTCACAATACATACATTTGTCAAATATACTTTATTCGCTAAAAATAATATTTTAGTTTGCAAAAGTTTTTTGCTTTTACTGTTTTAACTTGTAGCTTCAACTTTGTTCTCGTACGTTTTTCTGGAATGATATTTGTAAAGAAACCTGGTGAATTTTGTTTTATCAGAAGAGAGAATCGACTTTAGAAGTGTCGAGTTGGTCACAGCTTGGGAATTTTACTCATAGAATAGATAATAGATATTTTTTTTTATCGCTGCATTCTAGAAGGAATTTTACTTTATTAGAAAAACTCTAAGCTTGAGAACAGACAGTGTCACTTGTCTTGAAAAATGGACAACAGACATTTGGATTATCAAAGTGAACATGAGTCAGTAGCACGATGACAAAAATAGACATTCCTAAAGTTAGTGCATTCGTAATAGTCACACACATATAACCGGTTCAACTTCGCTTGTCGCCGCGTTTAATTTATCGCGGGAGAAATGTGTGTTATCTAAAATTTTGCGTATTTTCCGAGATTTCGATAACCTCGCCGTACGATCGTGAAGATAGAGCGCGAAGTTTTCTACAAATCGAATTTTTTTTTGTAGTATTTTCAGTATAGCTCGTGCAGAATCTGACGAACGTTCTACAAAACGATTGTAACGACGATCCTGGATCCGTTCCGGACCGGACGCATTACGTATTCGTGCGTTCCGGGTGATATATAAATTATACATGTAAATATACACAGGCGACCAACTCGAGAGATCGAACTGTGAGATATCGAAATACGTGTGTTGGCGCGCTATTCTCTTTCTTTGTAAAACTTTCTTCGTTCATCGAGTTTGGTCTGATGTGCGTGAACGCATACGTATGTAATGTACGTAGGCACAAATTCAATGTAAAATGCGGCGAATGTCTGTGTCATTTCCGTATGTTGTACGCAACTTCGACAACAATTGTTCTTTGCGATATTCGACTTCTATTTTACAGAGCTACGAAAACCTAAAGGATTCTGTGTGTAAACGAGCGCGTTATCTCTATCTTTTTCTTTTTTTGACAATTGTTTATATAGATGAATTAATGACACAAAAACTTTTATTTTGTGCATTTCAAATCGATTTTTTTCTTATAATACAGTTCTTAACTAAAGAAAAAACTTGACGCAAGCATCTATGTAACCTATGATCCAGTTGCTCTAGTTTTATAATTATTCTATACTTAGCGAAATGGATCCAAGATCGTGGGTGAAGCAAGTGTTGCGATACCGTCGATCTTGGCCGCAATTCATTGATCCGTACTAATAATTATTAGTTACCGCTAGTAATTCATTACACGTGTGCGCATTGCGAAGTGCCTTATGTCGCAGCCGAAGCCTCATTATGCGCGATCTAGTACTTCGAATATAGTCAATGTCAACATGTCGAGCGAGTCGTTCTGTGTCATAATTACTCGTGTGTGAGTGATGTAAGAAAAATCGTTATTTACATAACTTATATACTGTTATAGAGCGAAGCAACGATTTTCAACGTAACGTGCACATTTGTTATAATAACATTTTTTTTTCACAGAGAAAATATTGCGGTAAAAATAATCCGACTGCAACATTTTCTCTCTTTGTATGTGTTTACGGCTTTTGTAAATTGTAAACTAAACTTGCGTATTTGTTTTGTATATATCGTGATTTTGTATATATAAATTAAATGAGAGAAAAGTTTTTTTTACGTATAGAGTGATTAAGTGAATGTGTGTATAATAGAATGGCGCAATAAGTATCGGCTGAACTGAAACCTGTATTGCGTAAAACCGATGATATCGAGATGAAAATCGAATCTTGCGAAAGCGATAGCTTATCTTTGAAAACGTCATTTTAATCTCGATCTCAATTTAAATCTCATCATTGATTCGTCGTTAATAATGCCAAGATGATACGACTTCTGTTATATGCGTGCTACAAAAACCGAATATAAATATATACTATAAATAACTTTTATACATATGTACTTTTATACATATGTATTGAGATCGGCCGATACATAACTTTCGCGCCATGCAAACGTTCCTGCGATTATCGTACAAATTATACCGTTGTGCCGCGCATTACGCAGTAGTAATATTTAAAGATGTCGACAAATATCATTTTGCAAAAAGCGCAAAACTTAAAAAAAAATATTGTATTGTACATCCGATTTTCGACAAAAAAGAAGAGAAATAACAGAGAAATATTAATATTAATATTATTGTTATTAAAAATACACAGAGAGAAAAGTTTTTTTAAATTTAATAATCCTCTTTGTTTGACTCATATTGTTTTTTTAAAAAACATAATAATCTTATATCATATAATGTACGTAAGTACAAATTCAATGCAAAATGCGGCGAATGCTTTGTTGTTTCCGTGTGTCGCGACGTCGACAGTTGCTCTTTGCGATATTCCGGCTTCTACTTTACAACAATTATATTAAACAATTTTGTTTTGTTGAATGAAAATGTTAATATTATTTGACAGAAATAATACGATTATTTAAAATAATTTGTTTCAATCAAACAATATTTTATCTAGTGATAGTCTACATAGTGCTTTTTCGCATGTAAGCATTACGATGATTTGATAATTGCTTGATTTCCAATTACGCAATTAAAGTCAATTCCGATATTTGTTGCAACTGTAACACACAACAGCATTATGTGCCGTGATCGGAGTTCGGCCGTCGCTTCAGTATCGTCTTAAGCGAAAGATTTTGTCTGTGAAATTTAATTGTCCTAAAATTGAGATAATTACAAATGACACTATTTACACGTGTTATACGCATAAATTCGGTGAAAAAAAGGCACATTTTAAACTCTAGCTGCCAATTTAATTTACCACATTTATAAAAAAACTAAGATACGATAGATTACCAACATGTAAATACTATTTAAAAAATTTAGAATTATTAATTGCTTGCTTGATAAAATAAAACCGAAAAGATTACAATATTTCGACGGCAGTGTTGTTCCTTGCACAACGTACTTGAGTTTTGACATTTTTTCGCTTTTTTGTATGAGTTTTCTCTTGCTTTCGGTATAATCGCAATTGCATTTAAACACTTTTTTAGTGCTGTATCTTTTATGAATTGATCTTTGTATCGGAATTGAGAAGTTATTTTACCAGTTTTGACAGCAAAACAAAATGATAGATTTGATTAAACGCGACTAGACTGTTGTTCACAGCACAATACGTAGTAGTATGTTTATCCGAATAAATAATTTGTTCATATGTTAATGCAAAGTATGAACAATCATTATTAAAAGTTTCGTCGTATCGGTAAAAGGAAATAAATTGAGCGTAAAAACTATTTACTACACATTAATGAAATGCTAAAATAGAATTTGAAATATTTTGAACATGTAAATCGAGTTCTGAGAATGTTTTTGTTTTTTAGAATAGAATTAAACTTTTGAATAATACCGTCACGCGCAATAAATACTTTAAAAAATCAAAAGAAATCTCTCTCTGTGTAAAAAACTTGATTTGCAGATTATATAAATCAAAACTTATGCTGAAATTTAGCTGTCATGTCACAAAATAAAAACTTATACCATTGATCTTTTTTACACTTTTTATCTGTCGGAATACACATGAAATATAAGTCAAAAAATTCTTATATTCTTATATTAAAAAATTCGTAATTTATCTATTATTATATAATATATACATGTATATTATATGTATACACACATGTATGTATTTTATATATTAAAACAAACCATCTTGCGGATATTAATTTAACACAAAAATATCACGGATCTCTTTGGATATTTTGTGTTTTCTAAGTGATAATATATAACACTTTTTTTATTTCATGTGTACACCGTTTAACGATAAAATGTTGATAAAATATTTCATGCGCAAAAGAGTCACGGTGAAATGTAAGATTATGAAAGTTCAAATTGTGATAAATCTTGTCGATAAGCACGTATGCGAGCGTATGCGAGCACCAAGCATACCTGGCGATCGGATAATTTTCAAACAAAAAAGAGTCAGATATATATCAACAAGATATTAGAAACGATATTACCGATAAATATCTAGTAACGATGAAGGAAGACACATAGCAAAGATTTAAATTGATTTTCTTGATAACGTCGTTCGAGTTCTTATTTTGCGCGAGGAAAGGCACTATTTATAATCCTCAAATGAATGTAAATGTTGTTCTGCTTGCTTATTCATGTGCCGACGAAGCGGACGTGCCGACACAATCACCTGCGGGCAGAAATTTCGAATCAGTGTCTCTTAAATACATACATTCTCTCGTATAAAACTTTTTTCTGCTTTTCGTTAAACTGGTATCTACCGTACGTACGTAGAGAGTCTCACAGGAAGAGAGTCGCAAACTCGTGACGTCACAGTCGCTTCTGATTGAACAGAAGAAAAAGCTGCTGACGTTACGAGTTTGCGACTCTCTACCTATGAGGCTTTCTAGTCGTATACGATACAAATCAATAGATTTGTTAGAAAGAAAAGACGTATTGTTTCAATTATTTCTTTATGATTTATTTGCAATTTATTTGATCATGCTAAACAGAAACACTATCTTTTTTGACATCTCCTTGAGAGATCCGTCCTAATGTAAATTACGTATTTAGTACGACTTGTATATAAAATCACGAATTGTAAAGAGAGACGCGTTCTATTTTGTTTCTTGTATATAATGTAATTAGAAACTGTAATTGTGAAATCCTCATTTAAAAAAAATAGATTATTGTATAGAAGAAAAAAAATAAAGAACTATTTCACAATATTTCACGTGTCTTTTTTCACTTATGTATTTATTTAGTTAACTCTATCACTTTTTTTGCTTCGAAAATGAATATTTTTCTGATCTACTTATAATTAATTTCGATGCAGTGTGTTAAGAGAATGCTGAACGACAAAGAAAGTTCGCCACAAATGCCACTTAGCAGCTACGCTGTCGGGTAGCTGGCGCCATCTCTCGGGACCGAGTCAAATAAAAACAAGGATAGATGACATGAGAGAGACAAGGATAGACATATAAGTCTTTCCGGCGGTTCTGCTAAACCTGCACTAATCTTATTGTCACATTTTCTCTTTTTACAAGCTTCAAAATTTATTTCTAAAACAATCAAAATAGTTTTTTATGTTTGTAGAATGGCTTGGACAATTTGTGTTGTGATTCATATTGCCACTTTTGCATACGAAGTCAAACTGTTGTTTACGTGATAATAGTTCATAAAATTTTTTTCGCTTTTCTTGTTGATTTTTGTTCAGGCCATATCTTAGCATATTCTCTTTTATTCTGGAGAAGCGTTTTCCATTCCGATCAATGGATGCAGAGTAAGTTGTGCAATAAAAAGTGCCGGTAAAACAGGAAGGTTCAGCATCCTCTTAAACGAGATGAACGTACATGATTATATTGTACTATGCTCCGTAGACAGAGCAATATTGCATTTGCGTGATTGTTAACAATTTTCATGCTTTTGGCTAAAATCATACTTTTTTGGCAATTACACATACAATTATTTCCCACAAGTTTGATATAAAAAACTAAGAGTTAAGAAAACATATTTAATAAATTACAAGCCTTTCCAAAAAGGTGTCTTATACTAGGCATCTTTAACCTACACTTATACAAATACTTTTGACAAAACTATACGTATCTTAAATATTTGATGCTCTTTCGCGATGTATTATAAACATTTCTGAAAATAGATCGTCACACATCAAAGACCATATAGGAGAAGGTGGAGCAAGACGAGATAGTTAAGGTTTAATGATAGATAAAACACAAATTTTCATAATCACCGAAACTACTTCTTAATTATTCTTTGATAATCAGTCTTTCGATTAAACTATAAATAAACCATCTCTATAAAATTTTTTATACTAAAAAATTAATAATTCAGAAAAGTTTCTTTCTTCCCATCATGCCTCACGGGTGGGATAAGACAAAGTCCCCCGTGGGCAAGATGAGATACCTATTAACAACTGATATAAAGTATCAGGCTGCTCTTTAAACCCTGATGAAGTGAGCTGTAATGTTCACGAAAACGTCGGTATAAAAAAACCACTAACGCGGTTCAAACCCGAAAAAACATCTTTGTATGTTAACTGATATAAAATTCATTATTTACTGGTTTGACAACGGGAGCACACATGTATAACTTTATCATCATTGTCTTCTATATTTGCACACTAGCAACGAGCATTTCGATAATATAATCCATATCTTATTTTCTACACCAGCAGTCAAAGCATTTTATATTGTTTCTTTGGGCCAATTTTCCCAGTACGTCTTTTGTTTGTAGTTTCTTATCATTTTAAAACAATGGTAAACTTAGATTTTTATTTATACGTCTGTGTGTGGGGCAAGATGGGATAATAAAAATGCTCGTTACCCTATCTTGCTCTTTCTTGTCTCGCTAAAATCATATTAACAACTTTTTAAACACTTATCTTTTAGCCTGCTAGCTTCTGTCTTAGAAACACACATATGGACAAAAAACCTTTAATATTTTTATACCAATGTCACAGATGAAAGAATGTTCGAAAATAATAAGAAAATCGTCAAAAATGACAAATTACGTGTAACATTATTACACTTTATTACAGCCACATATCGCGCTAACTCGCTTATCACTGATAGCGACAATGAAGACACATCTAACGTATATGCCCGATTGTGATTGGTGCGTTTCAATCATGTAATATAGAGACTACCCCGTCTTGTCACGCTCTTCGTCTTGTACCACCTTCCCCTAAGTGTCAAGCTTGTATTTTACTAACTGATCTGTTCATATTACCACACTATAAATATCTTTAAAATTAATTCTAAGCAAATTTTTCACAGTTTTATCAAGAATCGCCGTACGATGTCATTAAGTTCTACGGTTTTGACAAATCTTTTACAGATTTGGTGCCACTATGTGATTGAAGCAATCACTACTCCTTAATTTGTGGATAGACATGGTGGATAGTCATGGCAATGAAAGTTCCTACTGCGTCAGTTACCGTTAGCAGATATAAAATCTACTGATTCATTAAAGGAAGTTTGGTTTCCTTTCCACCACTTTTCTCTCTTACACTTATTACAGTGATAGTCCATCTATCGCGGTAACACTGCGAAATTCGCGACTTAACTTGAATCGTTCTGTTACCAGTTATGTGTTTAGTCCTTAAAAAATTAAACCATATAATATTAAGAGAATTATTTTCTTGTGTTATTTTCGTGATATTTTCTGTTTCTACTCGAACGAATATACAAAACATATTTATTGTACAAGTCATGTGAAATATATCATCCACGTCGCATTTTCTCTGTGAACTTATTAACCAAGCAATTTCGTTACTATAATTACGATTAAAAGTACAAGTTGCACATAGAAAATCATGATTTATTCGAATATTATTACTAACATATTTGCTATGTTTGTGTTTTGTGTTATCTTACAGTGAAAAGTATATATGTAAATATAAAATACTTGATTAATTTTACTATTTATTTCAATTTGATTATTATTTTCTGACGATATTCCTTACTGCTTATGAAGATCGAACTGTGAACATATTTATTGACACTGCAAATGATGTTAAGGTTTTTACTTTTCGTTGTCCAAATATTTTACACTTGTGGAAAAGTAATTGTGTTACGTGGAGAATCAGTTTATATTAAATCATCATCATCTACATATAGAGGTGAGAGAAAATATATATGTCTCTCAGAAGACGACGGCGGCGCACTTGTATGGAATGACGACTTACTTTATAATCAATATCAACAAGAAAATCGTACTGACTTGCGTAAGTTATTAATTAACGTTCTTACAAAATTGCAACTTTTTAAAATATATATTTCACTATTTTAACAAATTGTTTTACTTCTTTTTATATAACTAAACGTTTAACACTTTTTTTTTGTAAATAAGTTCTACTTTCTTTTAAATTTAAGAAGTATTTTTAATGAAAGTTGAGTAGCTAAATATTCTATATATTCATATCATACTTCTCGAGAATAAATACGCTTATATATATTATAAACTTGCATATGATATTGTAGAGTTTCACAGTACACATCTATATAATACCTGGATAAATTGCAATTTTAACGCAAAACCAGTATGTGTAGAATCACAACCAAAAAGAAGCACGAGACAATCACCACGTTATATAGAACATATATGGAAAAATTGCACATTCAACACAACAATAAAGTGTTTAGATTCATGGGATCGAAAAAACTGGAGTCTTACAGATGCTACGAGAACACCTATGGGTCCCGTATTTGATCAAAGATGGGAAGGTAGAAGATTTACAATGTGCTAAAATTTATATTCATTAATTTAAAGTATTTAATATATATACTGTGTCAGCATATGTTTGCAAACTGTAGATTTAATATTATTGTTTTAAATAATAAAAAATTAAAATTTTTAGAATTTCGAGAAGAACAACTTCAAAAAGGGCATTATTCCACACTTGCATCAAAATCAATTCCAAAAGCAGGAGCGATATCTATTTCACTTCGTTCATGGAAGCATGTGAACATTTCTGTCTGCCTTTTTATTCCCCCATATACTGCGATAATATCTTATCAGAAAAAACTTTGCTTTGATATAAAATTAAGATGCGATAATACAGCGTCCATGATTGTATATGAAACCAATATTGGTTTAAACAATACTCGAGATCAACAGCGCTTTTCTAACAACACTATTTCCAAAAAAGTAAATTATATGTATAATACATTTTTTTGGTTTTGTGATTTTCAAGTTTTTTCTTTCTTATACAAAATCAAGACATGTTAACATCAAAACTTATTAAAAAATACTTGTATTTGAAATAAAAGTGATTACGTGTAAGTATTTACGACAGTAAGAAAGAAAAATATATCACAAAAATATTAAAAAAAAGTCAGAGAATCTGACACAAACAAATCAACTACTCAAATATTATATTTAAACACAAAAGCATTCATAATTATTCTAGTTATTACCACTATCTGGGACTGAATGGCGAACGTTCGTCATTTCATGGGATTTTTGGAATAGAAATGTTTCCATTTATGATACTAACGATAATAACAAAATGCTTACGTTTGAAGATACAGAAAAGTTCTCAAACAACTCACCTATGAACGATTATTACTCGACAATTCGTATCCGGATGGATCATTCCACACACTCGATGTGTCGCTTTCATGAATGTAAGTATATTTATTTCAAATAATAAGTTTATTTAGTTGGATACTTTTTACTGTATTCTAACCATACCAAACTTACCGAACAAATTGTGGTCTGACAAGTCTCGAATAGTTTCTTCAGAAGTAGGATCGTCTGCTGAATAAATAAAAAGACTCTTAAACTTCTGTCTTACTATTATACTACATAGAAAGTAAATAGTTTTTAGTACTTAAATAATATAATTAAAAACTTCAAAAAATAAACAGTAAATTTTTGTTTGTTTCTATACATAGTATTTATACTCTTTGCACGCGGTTTACAAACTAAGTACTTACAAACTCATATATTATGTAAAATAGTATAATTGAGATTATCACAGTGAGGGAAGGAGCCAATATGAGCCAAACCAAGACGTTGTGATATATGTATTTTTATTATGTATGAATGTCAGACGTTTCGGCCCAAGTTTTCAGTTTTTTTAAGCACAGTGTGTTTAATGTCTAGTCACATAGACAACAAATCTTGAGAACAAAGATCGTCTCACATTTATAACCATTGTCTGTCATGTAAAACATTTAAGAACGATTGTTACTGAAGAAAGTCTGAAAACTTGGATCGAAACGTCTGACATTCATACATAATAAAAATAAATACATATACCACAACATCTTATTTTGGCTCGTAGTGGCCCCTTTCCTCAATGTAATAATTTCACGAGCTTATTAGAACAAGTTAATTGAGAGTAGTATAGTTTGAATGTAATAAAAAATAAATACATTTACATATACATAATGCGTTTCAGACACTTTCCTGTATACAGTTGACAAGAATGCTGTTTTAACGACTCGTTATTATAAACCTAATACTCAGAAGATATGCATACAAATATTACTAGGCTTATGTGCAGAATGTGATGCAGACATCGTGATGATGGATTCCACAACCCATAAAATGTTACACTCTGTAACAGCTAAAGGCTCAATAAATGCTGCAATTCATAACTTACCTATGTGGCAACTCGTTAAACTTGATCGAGATTTTCTCACAGACACTTATATTAAAGCGATAAAAATTCGCGTAATTCCCAAACTTACAAAGCCCACTCCCAATCCGTTATGGGCAATAGCCCATGTTCGGCAATGTCCCAATAAAGGTGTAACTATGCATAGATTTCTCATTTTGTATAATTATTTGTAACATTAAAATATGTGTAGTAATAATACTTACATTTCTTGAAAAACTGTCACTAATACTTTTTTATATTTATTTTTTTTATGGTTTATGGTTTTTTTTAGAGATTTTGAGAAAAGGAATTATTTTGCAATCAAATAACGGAAATGATATTCCGTTGTCGAATATAACTTGCCAAAAATTATACTTTAACGAAAATATCGTCGTAAGTTCCCTGGGAAAACCTACAAACAGAATAGCTTTACGTAATTATCATAATAACAACTTGTTATTTATTATATATATGTATACACTTCTATATTCATAAATGTTTTTCAAAACTTTCCTTCATATATGAGTGTCTCAATTAGCAATCTACAATAATATTGTATTTGTACTTGACACCATTTTATAATAAATAACATAATTGTGTTACAAACATATTTCACAGATGACAAAATATGTCCTGAAGAAAAAATTGGACCAAACTGTTCCTTTTCCTGCGAACATGATCTAAACAGTCCTTCTAACTGTGAAGGAACTGCAATCTGTTACAAATCTGGGTGCGTATGTTCTCCAGGATTTCAAGGCAATACGTGCTCTGATTGTAAGTAGATTGGAATAGTTTTTCTAACAGTTTTCTTACTATGATATGTATACATGTCTATATATCGTCAGTCCCTACGTATAATCCCGTAACTCCAGAACGCAAATTTTAGACGAGAGCAGTTTAAAAGTTTAAAGCTTCATATATTTTTCTAGTTAAGAGGGTACTGGATACCGACTATAGAGACCTGTAAATCGACGTTTTAATATTTCGTTTTGTGCCGTATTTACTGCATCAAATCCAAAATGCTTCTACAGAAATAAGTAAATTATGCTAAGAGTTTGCTGTTGTTCTTTGGAATGTCAAAAT